CATGGTTTAGCATTCAGAAAGCATATGATCCAGGAATCCAGAAATAAATAACTTCTACGTATAAAATGGAAAGACTATTCATAAAAGATACCACCCACCCCGGCCTTCTGGTTAGTATTCCCATGGACCAAACTGAACAAGTCCAAGGACAAAGGAGCCCTTTGATGCAGGCAGCAGAGATCAGTCTCCTGGGGCTCAGATTAGAGTAGAAAATAGCCCAGAGAAATCCTAGAGGAGCAAAGAGAAAACAGCTTTGGCCAGCTAAGGAAGAGCACTGGAGCAGACTGGGTTGGAGAGTGTAAGACTCTCAATGGAGCTGGCCTATGGGGAACATTTTTCCCAGCAGAGGAATGAATGATGTTGTGCTCTATGGTTAGGAAACAGCTACAAGAAGTCTGCTATGGTTGTAATTAGGAGACAGAGGAAGAATGGTTAGAGATGAGAACAAAGGTTTGGAAGAGAGGAGGGCTTTCTCATCATGAAGGTCTTTTGTTGAGGAGAGTTTGAAAAGCAATGGAGAGGGAGAAGACGCCAAGAGGAGATTTGCTCATGAGGAAGATTACTCAGCCAGTATCACAGGGAACAAATAGAGACAGATAAAGACAGTGTTAACAATTGGGTGTTGAATGTAGAAGGAAAGAAGTGTTGGGCAGGGCATCAGTGGCTCAGGTCTGTAATCCCAACTACTCAGGAGCCAGAGATCAGAAAGCTGGCTCAGAAAGGAAAGTCTGTGAGACTCTTATCTCCAGTAAAACCAAAAGGGAGCTGTGGCTCAAGTGGTAGAGCACTAGCCGTGAGCAAAAAAATGTCAGAGGGACAGTGACAAGGTCCTGGGTTCAAGCCCCAGAACCAGCACACACAAAAAAGAGAAGTATTGGGTTAAATTTTCTATTCATCAAAAAATGGGGATTTTAAGGGGCTGGGAAAGTGGCTCAGAGGTAGAGCGCTTGCCTTGCATGTATGAGGCTCTGCATTCTCTTCCTCAGCACCACATAAACAGAAAAAGCCAGAAGTGGCACTGTGGCTTAAGTGGTAGAGCGCTAGTCTTGAGCTGAAGAGCTGAGGGACAGCGCCAGGTCCAGACTTCAGGCCCACAACTGAAAAAAAAAATGGGATTTTAGCTGGTGTTGGTAGCCTACATCTGTAATTTTAGCTAATGAGGTACAAGAATTGTGATTTGAAGGCAGCCCAGGCAGGAAGAAAAAGATAAAGTTGTGGCTTAAATGGGCAAAAAGCAGCATAGGGACAACACCCAGCCCTGAGTTGAAGCCTAAAGATTGGGCGGGGGGGGGGGGAGTGTGGGAGGGTGGAGAAGGGGATTTTAGGCTGGGTGTTGGTGGCTCACATCTGTAATACTAACTCCTCAGGAAGCTGAGATCTTCAGCTCAAAGCCAGTCTGGGTAGAAAAGTGTGAGACATCTCCAATTAAGCAGCAAAAAACTGGAAATCGAGGTGTGGCTCAAATGGCAGAACACTATTCTTCAGTAGAAAAGAATAAGCCAAGGGAGAGCACTAGACCCTGAGTTCCAACCTCAGTACCAGCACACACACACACACACACACACACACACACACACACACACACCAATGGAGAAGGTTGTGCTGGGTGTGTCAATGTCAGCACTATGCACATTGGGGTCTAGATGACTCATTGGTGTAGAGAACAATCCTATAAACTGTAGGATGTTTAGCAGCCATCATTTCTATGCATTCAGGTTGTAGCAATGCCACCTAACATGCCAATCAAAGAGGAAAGTATCTTAGTTGAGAACTGTTACGTGTTGGAGAAAATGGATTCAATTCTGGGCACACAGTGATTTAGGTACTTACAAGACATTTAAGAGGAAATGTCAAGACAGACTTGGACTTAGAGATTTGGAGCCCTCAAACAAGAGTCTGGGCTGTTGATTACTTGTGTGGAAATTACAAGCCTGTAACCAACCTTACAGGAGAGCCTAAAATATAAGCACCATATGTATTTAGCACATTGTGATTTCTCAAATTCTCCCTTAATACAGATGCACCTAGATGTTTATGTTTCTTGTTGAATTTAATGCCAGCACATATGGGAAGGACAAAGAGAGAGAGAGAGAGAGAGAGAGAGAGAGAGAATGTGTGTGTGGGGATTGCAGGGATCAGGTATCACTGATCTATTGTTAGCTGTAGTTTAAGGGACAGAGAGAGATCTGAAATCAGTGGAATTTTTTCACTTGATGTTACTGAGGTTTGAACTCAGGACCTTACAGTTGTTAGGCAAGCAGTCTCCCTCTTGAGCCACACCTCCAGCTTTCTCTCCCCCCCTCTTCCCTTTCTTCCTTTTTTCTTTCCTTTTCTTTCTCTCCTTTTTCTTTTTCCCTCCTTCCTTCTTTCCTTCCTTCCTTCCTTCCTTCCTCTCTCTCCTTCCTTCCTTCCTTCTTTTCTCTTTCTGTCTTTCTCTCTTCCTTTTTCTTGCCACTATTGGGGCTTGAACTCAAGGCCTCATGCTCTTGCTTAGCTTTTTCACTCATGGCTAGAGCTTTACCATTTAGGCCATAACTCCAATTCCAGGTTTTTGTTGGTTAACTAGAGATAAGAATTTTGAGGGCTGGGAAGGTGGCTCAGTGGTAGAGTGCTTGCCTTGCATGCATGAGGCCCTGGGTTCGATTCCTTAGTACTACATAAGCAGAAAAAGCTGGAAGTGGTGGTGTGGCTCAAGTGGTAGGGTGCTGGCCTTGAGCTGAAGAGCTGAGAGACAGCGCCCAGGCCCAGAGTTCAGGCCCCACGACAGGACTCCTCCCCCCCCAAAAATAGCATAATGCTAAGAAGTTCTTCTTCTTCTTTCATTTTCTTTTTGGGTGGCTGGTTCTGGAGCTTGATCTCAGGGCCTGGGTGCCTCTCCTTAGCTTTTCCACTCAAGGCTGACACTCTACCACTTGGGCTACAGTTCCACTTCCAGCTTATTAATGATTAGATGGAGATGAGAATCTCACAGACTTTCCTCTCCAGTCTGGCTTCAAATTTCAATCCTCAGATCTCAAGCTCTGGAGTATCTGGGATTACAGGCACAAGCCACTGACACCTGGCTAATTTCTCCTTATTATAGAGTTAAGGAAGGAAACAGGGTTCCAGAATGGATCAGGGGATTATTTGAAGAGGAGACTCCAGCACCACAGTAGTTATGTATAAAAGAGGCAGACAACTTGTAGTTAATACAATAATTTTTTGCGTGCTTTCGGCCAACTGCTTTTCTATACAATGTTGTGACAAGTATAACTTCAGTTCATTCTAGAACAAAACACAGTATTTGTCAACGTAATTATCCCATAAGGCAACATACTTATTTAGTGACTGATAAGTTTCCAGAATCTGCCTATCAGGAAAGAATGAGACAATTAATGGTTCATCAGATTGCCATCCTCTCAAAGCTTAAATCCCCCATATTGCCTCTTGAATAAACCAAACAGACATGAATTGGAAATCATGTGGAACACCAACAGCTGTTTCTAAATTATACACATAATCATGGTAAATTCTACTTGCAGTACGCCTGGAAATAAAAAACCTGATAGAATTTAGCTACTCACTGGGGATTCCATGTGGGTTTGGGACTGGCTTTCCAAAAGCTGTCAGTAGCAACAGTGCCAGTTCATATTGTAGAACCCCGGCTGTGTTTGTCAGCTATCCATTACTGTACAAATCACCTGAGGAAATCAGCTTAAGGCTCAAGGCTTTGGAGGTTTCTGTTCGTGGTTGTTTGGCCTTACTGCTTTGGGCCCCGGTGAGGCAGAATAAAATGATGGAAGAGGTGGCAGAAGAAATCTGCTCAGCCTCAAAACAGAAAGAAAGCACATGGAAGGGGATGTACCCTGCTGGCCTCAGTTCCTCCTGCCAGATAGCACCTCGCAAAGTTTACTTTGTCTTCTGATAGCTTCATGGACCCTTAGGGTACATTTATGAACCAAACCATAAAATACATTGTTTTTCTTTTTTTTTTGTTGGTCGTGGGGCTTGAACTCTGGGCGTGGGCGCTGTCCCTCAGCTCTTCAGCTCAAGGCGAGTGCTCTACCACTTGAGCTACAGCGCCACTTCCGGTTTTCTGGTGGTTTATTGGAGATAGGAGTCTCACGGTCTCTCCTGCCCGGGCTGGCTTTGAACCGTGATCCTCAGATCTCAGCCTCCTGAATAGCTAGGATTACAGGCGTGAGCCACCAGCGCCCGGCAATACATTGTTTTTCATATATGCATCAATGGTGATAATAATAAAAGTATAATAAGCAAGCAAATGTAAAGTTTATATCTTAGCCCTCTGAAAAATGGATACTTTTCAGGTCTTTGGAGACACTTAAATCCTTGGAAAAATTATGAAATAGGCCTAGTATTCCCCCCCATATCCTTCATTCTCTCCATCATGTGCTCGTGTGTTATACTGTATCAGTTACCTCAGGCTGCCATAACAAAACGCTGTAGACAGAGTGGCTGAAAGCAACAGAAATTTATTTATTTATAACTCTGGAACTGAATATCCAGAATCGAGATGCTGCTGGCAAGTCTGGTTTTTCCTAAAGCCTTTTTTTTCTTGGCTGGAAGATAGCTGACTTCTTGCTGGGTTTCTTGTGACATTTTCTTTGTGTGGGAGTACAACCTTGTCCTTATTTTATAAGGACACTAGTTATATGAAATTAAGACTCCATCCTTAATATTTAATTTGATCTTAATCACTTTTATAAATTTCTCATCTCCAAAAACTACTTTAAGAGTGAAGGGGCTCAATTCAATCCACAATATGTATTTTTTATTCTCTATCTCTCTATCTCTGTTTCTCTGAGTCTGTCTGTCTGTCTGTCTCTCTTTGTTTCTCTTTTGGTGACAGAATTGGGGCTTGGACTCAGGGCTTGGACTCATTAATGTTTTTTTACTGTAGCCTGGTGCTCCACCCCTTGAACCACAGCTTCAGTTCCCACTTTTTAGTGGTTAATTGGAGAGAAGAGTCTTGCATACTTTCTTGCCTGGCTGCCTTTGAACCTTGATCCTCAGATCTCAGCCTCTTGAGTAGCTGGGATTACAGGCAGGTGCTACCAGTGCCTGGCGTGGGCCATTTTCTCTGATTGGGAAGAAAGGGGGCATTGCCTGGAGTGTTTCCGGTGATTCACAGTATTAAGTCCATGCTGCAGGCTCATACCATTGACCCTAAAAGTCTCCATTAGAGGCTGGTATCAATCAGAGGCCCAGGCTCTTGCAGTGTTTGCTTCCTTCTATTGATAGCATTAAGAACTTTCTTCCTGGGCCCTAACTGCATTCGTATATTCTGAAGGTCCTCGTCAGAGCAGAGCAACAGAGCTTCTAGATCAATCTGTTCTCTCATGAAAATGGGAAGGAATTCTTCCAGGTGCTGAGACTGTAAGAACACTTCCAAGGGAGTGGCATTCACCACATCTTCTTCCCACTCAACTTCTTCCTCATCCCAGGGCAGGTCACCTCCCAGGCCATTTTTCTCTCCCTCTTCATCATCCTCCTCAGCTTCATCAGCCTCTGAGGCTCCGTGTCTTTGGAACAAATCACTGGACATTTTAAATCCCAGCTCTCTCTTGCTGTCGTCGATATCTTCAGGGCTCCAGACACTGCTTCTTTTAAACACGATATTGCCTAGACCTGGACGGTTAAGAATGGACTCGTGCTGAGCTTCATTGTCCTCTTCCATTGAGAAGTGGAGTTTCTCTTTGAAGTCACCAGAGACAGAATCTTCTTCTTCCTCTCTGAACACTTCCATCACATTCCTCTGCCCACTTCTCTCTCCCTTTCCCACCTGCTCTGCTGTATCTTTGCTCTTCTTGAATTTTAACTTGAAAGTGTCTTTAATGCCCTTAGACAGGGATCCAAACGTACCAGGTACAGAAGCATGGGACGTGGTTGACCTGGAGAAGGTGCCCTTGGAAGAGGGCATCCCAGAATCCTCCTTGCTGTAAGTGCGAGTCATCTTATTTTGGTGTTTCTCTTGGAGTCTTGCACACTCTTTGATCTGCCTCTGGACATTCTTCTGGGCCTGCTCCTTCAACCTGGTGACTTTCTTGGGGTTCATGATATTCTGGGCAGTGGCAGCTTTATCCAGGAGAGCAACGCATTCATTCTGCTCCCTGCTGGCTGCGGCATCCAGCGGAGACTGCAGGTCATTGTCTAGGGCAAAGATGTTGGCTCCGAAGTTGATCAGGAACGAGACACAGTGGGCATGGCCGTTGGATGCTGCGTAATGTAAAGGAGTGTTTCCCCAGATGTCACATCTGTCAGCATCACCCCTGAAAGAGAAAATAGGAAGGATGCAGGGTAAATATTTTCTCTGAACACGAGGTTCCCAAAAGATAAATTAGAAACAATGAAGAAAAAGCTGGATGCTGGTGGCTCATGCCTGTAATCCTAGCTACTTAGGAGGCTGAGATCTGAGGATTGTGATTTGAAGCCAGTCCAGGCAGGAAACTCCTTGAGACTCTTATTTTGAATAAACTATCAAAAAGCCAGACATGGAGCTGTGCCATAAGTGATAGAGTGTTAGCTTTGAGCAAAATAAAAGCTCAGGCCCTGAGTTCAAGCCCATTGCACATACAGAAAATAAAGAAGGAGGAGGAAAAGGAAGAGAAGGAGGAAGAGGAGGAGGAGGAGGAAAGGAAGAAGATACATGTTAGTGAGGGTGTATTTTCCTGATGTTAATGTATAATAGCTGCTATAAGTCTTTATATGTCACAGCTAGAGACCAAATAGCATCAAACATTTTATCCCATCATTTCTTTGTATGAGCAAACCCTCCCCCATAACTTTCTAAAAAATTCCATAACTAAGCAACTTTTGTACCTTATTGGGCAGAATTGGGTCCACATGCCATGTTTAATTTGGATCAGTTAGAATTTGCTTCTAAAACTAGTGATAAAATTGCCCAGGGGAATACTGGTAAATGTTGAACAATTGGCACTCAAAATGATCAAAGCTCTGCTTTATACCAAGGATCAATTACTGTAGTGTAAATATTCTACCATGACACATTTTAAGTTAGCAATGCAACCCACAAAGTTAGCAATGCAATGCACATAATTTGGAAGAGATGAGCAACAGCATACTAATATAAATTATTATGTACTGGTGGCTCATGCCTATAATCTTAGCTACTCAGGAGGCTGAGATCTGAAGATGGAGGTTTGAAGCCAGTCCAGACAGGAAAAGTCTGTGAGAATCTTATCTACAATGTATCACTACTCTAGAAGTAGAGCTATGGATCAAGTGATAGAGCACCAGCCTTGAGTGAAAAAGCTCAGGTACAGTGTGCAGGCCCTGAGTTCAAGACTCAGTGTTGGCATGTTCTCACATGTGTACATATACACAACTGTTTGTATTCAGACCACCAGTAGCAGCATTAAGCTATGATTTGATTATGTATGCAGGAGTGGGGCCTCAGACTAGACTCACTGAATCTGAATTTACAATTTAACAATTGATCCATAAGCTTGCAATGGGTTTGGAATGGTTCCATTAATTAATGTGGCCTAACCAAATGGCAATCAAATTTGTAACTCTTCCCTGACTACCTTGCACTTTTCAGTTATGAAACACTTCCATGTTCACTGCCCAACACCAGCCATCACCATCTCCTGCTTAGAGAAGGAAGGCAAGAATCGTTATGACAAAGAGTAAGGCTCAGGGAGGGTAACTGATTTCTAAACGGGTAAGGGTTTTGTTTTGATTTTGCAGTGCTGAGGATTGAATTCTAAGCCTTGCACATGCAAAGCTACTACTGAGCTCCAGCCCCAGCTCAACAGACAGCACATTTTGGATCAGTCTTGCCTCTTAGTTTATCTCCAACAGAACAGTCTTATACCTTGCCACTTAACCGGCTACAAGTCACTAGCTTAACTTTTCTAGGTAATTCCATGAATTCCCTCATCTGTACACTGAGGATATAAATACTACTATTTATAGTTGCTACATGAACTAAATAAGCCTATCTATTTATGTCATAGCAAAGGGCTTACTCCACAGTACACAGTCAGTAAACATTAGTTATGATCATATCCCTCATCTCTCTAAACTCATAGTCCATAAATTCCCAGGCTGGTTTTTTCTAGTCCTCCAGGAAATTTCCAGCAGCACAATGGTTCTTGTGGTTTTAGCACTGCTAGTCTTATCTAACTGGCCAAGTATTTATGCTCTGCCTTGGCCTTTCTAATTAGATAATTGGCCTGAGAAAGCAAAGGCTGTGTTTTCTCTCCCTTTTATCATCTTTATCTCCTATTAGAAATCTGAGACCCATGGGCTGGGAAGGTGGCTCAGTGGTAGAGCGCTTGCCTTGCATGCCTGAGGCCCTGGGTTCGATTCCTCAGCACCACATAAGCAAAAAGAAAA